GTACAATCTTAGAAATATACACAAGAAACTCCTATATATGGTTTATCATTTTTAACAAATAAGCAAGCTTAGGAAACTGCCTGATAGTAAGTAGGAAAAATCATTCCATTTAAATGTGAAAATGCTATTTACAATTATTTTAAAAATTGATGACACACAGCTGGGCATGATAGTGCACACCTTTAATCCCAGCACTCAAGAAGCAGATACAGGAGGATCTCTGTGAGATCCAGACAAGCCTGGTCTACATAGCAAGTTCCAGGCCAGCTGGGGCTTATAGGCTTTGAGACCCACTCTCAAAAATAAAAATAAAAAAATGATATAAATTACAATGTAAAACAAAACAAGCAATCTTACTAATAATTAGCATACTTCATCATTATTATGCTGAGATAATATAGTGAGTTAAAAGGTTATTTTCTTAAAATAAGAATATACCTTAACATTTTTAACAAATAAGCTTAGAAAACTTCCTGATAGTAGAGAGGAAACATCATTATATTTAACTGTCAAAATAATATTTTTCAATTATTACATATGAATTATCATATAGTAATTTTGCTAATAATGAATATACTTCATTTTCATTGCCATGCTGAGACAATATAGTAAGTTAAATCTAAAAAGTTATCTAAAAGAAAGGAATATCTCATAAGAATAAACTGAGAAAATAAAATGTCCCCTTAAAAGAATATGGTGTATATATGTGTATGTGTACACACACACACACACACACACCCATTTCATTCCAAAATAAAATAATGGCCAAGAAAGGGAGGTTCTTAACTGTTTTATCATCTTCAAACTTTCTTAAACTGAATCCATTTTATCGTAGGTAGTTGTGATGGTTAGTTTTTTGTCAGCTTGATACAAACTAGAGTCACCTTGAAGACAGAACCTCAGCTGGGGAATTTCCTCCAAGTAGGCGAAAGCAAGCCAGTAAGCAGCATTCCTGCATGGTCTCTGCTTCAGTGCCTTCCTCCAGATTTCTGCTTGAGCTCCTGCCCTGGCCCCACAGACCTATATGCTAAAATAAACCCTTTCCTCCCCCTTTGCTTATGGTCAGTGTTTTATCACAGCAACAGAGAAGCAAATTGGAACAGTAATTAAATAACAGTCAGTATAAAACAAGTAACTTGAAACTGGGCTAATATGTTAAGAAAATAACAAAATATACATACTCAATTGCTAAATGCTCAGAAAAGGAATCTTAAATATCTTGATTAAAAAGTAGAAAAGCACTACCTCAGCTTTCCAGTCAGAAGTTAGTTGCTTTCTGCCCCTCTCTGTTGAGAAAACATCATGATTCCAAACTATGCAGTATACGAAACAATGTAACATGCTAACTCTACAACCATGGATTTCTAAATGCCTTGACAAGATAACAACTGCAATAGCTATGTCACCATATCAAATACAATAATTCTGTAAGAATTTATTGTCAAAAATCAGTTACTGTCACCAATAGTAACAATGCTGAATTAATAAAACATCTTAAAATATTAATACTTTGTTGAAGAATATTCATTCACAGCAGAAGTTATACCTGCATTTTATGCTAAGCAGGTATACTTTTTTTCTCCAAAATTAGTCATTTTATGTTGGGATTCTTACCTGGAGAAGTATTTGAATATTCTTTAAGATCTAACTCTGTGCTCTTAAAGACCCTGATGCCTACATTGTTTCATGCACTCCTTACAACTACCTTAAAAGGCCAGAATTATCCTTACTTTACTTACAAATGAGAAAACAAAGTAATGTGCCTCAACAAAAACCTGCCCCCAAAATATGGAAATCAGAACTAAACTGAAATCTGTAACTGAAGCTAAAGATCACGACTTCTCAGTATGTCAATCTGCCTCCCCATGTAACCAGTGCAAAATTCCCTTTTAATAATTCTGCATCAGTTCATTGTGGTAAGATGCAGAAACTGTAAAAGCCCTTTAGTAATACCTGAAGGAATGAAAAATAAATTTGGATAGTAAGATGGCCAAATGGTGACCTAAAGTTAATAGTATCTTTTCATCCAAGTAGAAAAACTAAAACCATTATTAACAATCGGATTAATATTTAAAGTCTTACAAATCAGTGCTTAAGAGACAGCACAGTAAATAGATTTATATTGTAGGTCTGCA